CGAATGGAGAGTTAGTGGTTGGGCGACTTTGTCACGCTCCATGTAGAACGATTTGGGCAGGGGACCAAGGGGAAGGGGACCTGCAGATCCTGCAGGACCTGTCGATTTGTATTCAGTCCCCGGGATGTTGGAGGCCACACAAATATAATTATCAATTGCCATAAGCACTGAGCCATTATCCAAGTGCAGTGTCTCAAGTGGGCGCAACGAGTTCGATTTGAAAAATGTACCCTATAAGCATTCTCAAACAACTGGTATTATAAAAATAAGCTTGAAAAAATATAAATCTAAATTTTGTTGTTTTCAATTTTGGACATTTCTGCGTTGATTCTTAGTTTCCAGTGGATAGATAAGATTAGATATATAGATTACAATTTATTAAATAGCTGGCACACCTTTGTTAATTAATTTATTGTTATATAAATAAAGTATTTACCGGCACTTGCTTAAATTTTTTTAATGCTTCCCTAAACGCAATGAAATTTTAAAGTCATTATAAGCTGTAGCATAACCCTATAAGTTCACCCCCGTTTTGCAGTGCCATTCTCGATACGTTAACCGCACTCATCATTAGTCCATCTGAGTTATTCATTGAAATCATTCATTCAGCGAGTGCAAATATTTGCCAGCTTTTCCGGCCGGGGGAAAGGGCAGGAAATGGAAAAATGAAAAAATGAAAAAAAAAGAAGGAAAACAAGGAAAAACGGAAACAAATCAAAAGGGAAACAAGTAAAAATGATTGCGGCTCCTGTGGCGTCGTCATCGTTAATTTGTTATTTGATGTGCGCTCTAAGCACACATAACCGGAGTCCCAGCGCTTAAGTCCGCCCCCAACTAAGCCCCCCTTGAAAACCCCCCTCCTGCCGCAGCCACTGGGGCACACTCAGTCATTCGCTGGAGCCAGTGACGAAGGATGTAGGATTCAGGACGGAGGACGAGGGACGAGGGACGCAGGACGACGACAAACGTCAACGACGCACTTAATGAGCCCCGTGCGGCCAACATGTTAATCCATCCCGGACTGAACGAACCACACTGCCAGAAATCAGGGGGTACTCTCAAACACTTCTTGTAAAAATAATATTAAGCCTTGACATGCTCTAGAGTTTTTTAAAAAATGTGATCTGCTTCCAATGCGTTTTGTTACTGCTTTAAATATTTATCAACAACGTTAATTGACATACAGAAAGTATATATCTTCATCAATTACAATTTACAAATACTCGAGATAATTATAAAACCACAATAATTTTGTAAGTAACTCTTTTATAATCGTTTTAGTTTGAATAATTTACATGGTGTGGTAATGTTTGTTAGTAAAGCAAATATTAAAGAAATACTTTTAAGATCTCTAAACTTATAAAATTTATCTAAAACCAATTTGGATCATTTGTAGAAAAGCAAATATTAATGAAAATCTTCGCTTATTAAGTTATACAAAATCATTAATTAAAATCAATAATTAAAACCCTTTGAATTCTACATATAGATCAACTCAGAAACATCACAGATATTTGTGTTCTTGACTTTATCGGAATATTTTCGCCGAGTGCACCGACTCCGGACTATGGACTCCGGACCAACGGACCCGGCATCAGGCGTCGTCATTCAACACGATTGCCCCCGTCACCCAATCCACCCAACCACCCAATCCACCCACTCGCCCACCGGAAAACCCCCATCGCATTTGTTTCGTGAGCGCATACGAATGCATTTTTGTGTTTTAATTGCCCCCCGGCTGTGGGAAATCCCAGGGCGAATTTAGCAGCAGTTTTTTTTATACATTTTTCACGCTCATTTATCGGAGTATGAGGGGTGCAGCTGGTGGTGCAGTGGTGTTTGGTGTTCGGTGTTCGGTGTTTGGTGGGTCAGAAGTGGAGTCGCATAAATCAAGAAGCTGACGAGGCGTCAATGGCAGGCGGCGACGGTCGGTCCAGTCGCCACTTCATAGCGTTTCTTTCGATTTCTTCGACCCGCCCTAAACCACCCCACCCTAAACCACCCACTCACCCACCACCCATCCCTGTTTACACTTGCAATAACTTAACGATGGGGAAAATTCGCCAAAGAAACTCTAAAATTAATAAGGGGAAAAATTCCGTTTGCGAGAACTTGGCCTTAATTGAGCGTTTTTCTGTTACATTAATAAATCCCTGCGAATATGAGGACGTATAAAAAAATGTTAGCCATAAAAGCACTGCCTTAATTTGGACACTATTATTTCGAGCATGAAATTTAAGGCGGGCAACCCTCCAGGATAAATGTTATTTTTGAGAATTTCTACCAGTGGTCAAAAAAAGTACCGAAACAAGAAAAATTTGTACTTTTGAGAGACACGCAATTAAAAAAGTTAAGAAGGCGCGTTTTTTAACCCTAACAATCGTAATGGAAAACAAATATTTAATTAAAATAATCAAATAAAGGAGAATAAAAGACAAAAATTGAGAAGCTCAACACTTTAGGTAAAACCATAAAACGCTACATAAAATTAGAGAAGTTTTAATATAAATTGATATTGTCAAACGAAACCTAGAATCATAAAAGGGTTGGAGTTTTTGTGTTATTAAAGTAACAACAACATAGGTGCATAACACTTGTCAGTTTTGTGCACACAATTAGTGACTTTTTTATAATAAAAGAATTTTGTCAAACGATGGAGTATGTGAAATAAACTTTATGAAAGGTTTTTAGGATAATTGAGTTGTTTTCTGTTGAGGGTTGGTCAGGAAAAGTTAAGTGAGTGGGGGATTCGCAACCAAAAAATAAAGAAATAAGAGAGGAAACTATTCCAGCGATAACGGCAGTAACAGTGGGCTCAAACTGGCCACTGGCCAGTGGCTTGGGCCATGGGCCGTCAGACATCGGGCATCAGACATCAGACATCCGACATCGGGACCAATGGGGGACTGGGAAATGGGAAATGGGAAATGGCAAATGGAATATGGGAAGTGGGGATAGTACCATAGACCGAGGAGGAGGAGACTAGAAACTAGAGACTGGAGACCAGAGACCAGAGACCGGGGACCAGGGGCCATGTCCACGTTGTCGTTGTCGTTGTCGTGGTCGTTGTCGTCATGGCCCTGTTAGATCGCTCTTTGGGGTAAAATAAATTACCATAATTTAAGCGTAATTCAGTGCCAGTGGCAGCAAAAACTGTGGACCGTTCGGCGGGGCGGAGCGGGGGCGGTTCCTTTTTAGCCGAAACGGGATCTGGAGTTATGGGTGGGCGGCCGACTTTGTCGCTATGTCGTCTTCTTGGCTAAGTGGACATGAAGCATGCACGACCGGCCATGATTTGTTGGTGGCCATAAGTGCGAGTGTGTGTGGCTTTCCGCCATATATATGCTTTTTTTTAGATTTTTAGCCCTCCAGAAAGGGCATATGCAATTGGTCAATTGATTTATGCAGCATATATGTTTGTGTAATCCGGGGAGATTCCCCAAAAACTAGATCCTGAAATGCTTCGGCATTTATGCTTTCTGCTTGGGTCTTGAGAAGACTTTGTATAGTTTTTTTTTTTAATCTTAAAACAAACATTATTCAGTTTTGTTTCCACAAAATTATTACTGCTAATAAATTGAAATAAATTACTGAAAAAATATTTTTTTTAAATATAAAAATGTATTACTTTAATGATAAAAAATATCATACGTCTATATAAAATCATTTTAAAATAATATGCCTTTATCAAACATCTTAAAATAACAGCGTTCTAAAATGCTTTATAAATCCTTTCCTTTTCCTATTAAAACCGCAATTAAATGCTCCTTATCGTTCCATTAATTGTCCCTTCCCTCAAATAACTTAATTATTTATTACAAGTAATAGAAGACAAGTGAAATAATGTTGTGTGGCAAGGAAATTAATTCACGGCCATGGAGATGGTTATCATAAGAGAACTGGCCATATATTAGGGCATTTTCTGGTCGTTTGTGTAAAAATCCCCATGGGATTTCGGCCAGGACAAATGTCCGAGCGTGTTTCAGTTAAGCTTTTTGATAAACTGCCCCCTGCCCCTGCAGTCTTTTGAGGTTCTCAAGCGTTTACGGCTGCCATTTTTTTGCTGCTGTTTCTTCTTTTCGGGAAACATAGGACCAGCAGACCAAAACCAGCCAGACATCAGAGGCGGAGGCGGGGGGTTTTCCAGGACGAGTACAAGGCTAATAAAGTTCAATAGCCAAGGCGACGCCTGCTAAATGTGCGCACAGCTCATTTGATGCACATTATCGTGGGGGGTTCAGTTCGGTTTCGGTTTGCTTTTTTCCTCCCAACGACTTTTCATTTTGAATGTTTGCCAAAAAGGGAAAAGCAGGAGGGGGCAATGAAAACATTTACAGGGCAGAGGGTTCCCACTGACCTGTCCCCTCTTTATGGCCCAAAGAAAATATGCTCATGTTGTTTTCGAGCGTCGTCGATGGCGCCTCCTGCAAATTGGTAGCCATGAATCGGGCCGAATGAATTGAAGGGAATTGCAAGGACTCGAAGGATATTCAAGGGTACACGAGGGCAGTGAATGGAGGGAAATGGCATGGAATCGACTACGAATCGAAACGAATCCAATTGAATTGAAATGAAATGTAGCCAAATGAAAGAAAAACGAATGAATAAAGTAGCGAGTAAGGGAAAGATGCCTCCGGCTCTGGCCAATCAATCCGATGATGAGGCCGCTGATTATGATGGCGATGGTGAGCCGATGAGCTCGACTGTTCTCGGTGTATTGTGCCGGGAATCGGGCTCCATTGTGATACAGCAGCCCCATAATTGGGCAGTCGTTAAAAATAAATATATATGGCTGAACAGAAGGGTTAAGGAGTTCAAAGGCTTAAAATCAGGAAAGAAGGAGACGCGAACTGGGAAACCCTTCTCTGGGATACAAGAGTTTTATTTCAAAAAATGACAGATTTATATTGAGAAACAAATATTATATTTCGAGATTTCGAATCACTGAACGGAAACCGAGAGTCTATTAAACCATAAATTTATTCCCTGAAATTATTCCCAGAAATTATTCCCTGATGGAGGCCGTCGAGCTGGTGGATATTCCTAAGAAATCATACAATCCCAGTGAGCTGTCCGAGTCCCGATTCCTGGAGTACAGCAATCTATCCGACAAACTGCATTTGAGGGAGGCCATCAACAACATACTTATACCCCGTGTTGTGGGCACGGGGAATCATAGCATCGTGCGACAATACATAGTCCAGAGCTTGAGAGATCTTGGCTGGGATGTGGAGGTGGACAGCTTTCATGACGTGGCTCCCATAAAGGGCAAATTGCATTTTCACAACATCATCGCCACGCTGAATCCAAAAGCTGAACGATATCTAGAGTTCGCCTGTCATTACGATAGCAAGTACATGACGGGCGTGGAGTTCCTGGGGGCCACCGACTCGGCTGTGCCCTGTGCCATGCTTCTAAACCTTGCCCAGGTCCTGCAGGATCAACTGCAGCCCCTTAAGGAGAGCAATCTGAGCCTAATGCTCTTGTTCTTCGACGGCGAGGAGGCTTTCGAGGAATGGGGACCCGATGATTCCATCTACGGAGCACGGCATCTGGCCAAAAGGTGGCAGCGTGAAGGAAAACTGGATAGAATAGATTTGCTGGTGCTGCTGGATCTTCTGGGAGCCCCCGACCCCTCTTTTTATAGCTTCTTCCAGAACACCGAGTCCTGGTACATGCGGCTCCAGTCCGTGGAGACACGACTGGCCAAGATGGAGCTCCTGGAGCGCTATGCCAGCAGTGGAGTTGCCCAGTACGATCCCAGGAGCTACTTCCAGTCGCAGGCCATGCGCTCCTCCATGATCGAGGATGATCACATTCCCTTCCTGCGTAGAAACGTGCCAATCCTGCACATTATACCGGTGCCCTTTCCAAGTGTGTGGCACAAACCGGACGATAACGCCAGCGTGATCGATTATGCGACGACGGACAACCTGGCGCTGATTATACGGCTCTTCGCTTTGGAGTATCTGCTGGGCGGAGGCGAAGACAAGTAGTTATGTGGTCTGTCCCCCTGTGTGGATCACAAATGTTGTATCTACTCACAGCCTTATCTAATTGACCTGTTCCGATATCGAGAAATTGTTAAATATGTATTCTAATACCCGCCGTGGAATCTTTGAGAGAACCCTATTGTTAACTGAATTTGCGCTTTAAAATTACTTAAGCAGATCTGAAAAACGCATAATCCAAATATTTTTATACACAAGTATTTATAGAGAATGCTTAGCTAATGACACGACAAATTAATATATATTTTGTAATCTTTCGGTTGTACATTTTTGACTTACATGTATAGTCCAACATATACATAGTAAATGTACCTTAAAACATAAATTTCTTTATATAGAATAGTTGAAAAACACCAAAAGCAGCACACTGAAATATTACTATTAGATCGAGAACCTAGTATACCCTTTTACTCTACGAGTAACAAGTATAAAAAGCCGAAGAACAGAATGTATTTGGTTGCTAAGTTACTAAGTCAACAAATGAAATATAACTTAGCATTAATACGATTTTTAGAAGACTAAGACTCCTAAACCAAAAGCCAAAAAACCAAATATTTATTATGAATAATATCGTGATAATAGCATATATTAAATGTCAAGCTGAAATATTAAAAAAAAAAAAGGAAAAATTGGAGTTGTTCCGTGATGGATTTGAACCCCCGACCTTCGAAGCATCAGCGAGTTCTAATGACCGGGCAAAAACCCCTAAAGAGCGGGGAGAGCGCCCTGTTCTTAAAATAGAATGTGGATCGTGGCGCAAGTGGGGAATTCTTAAAGCTTTGCGATTTGCAGTAATGACGTGGCGCGAAAGCTCTGCTAAAGCCCCCCTTTGAAAGAGGGAGACGGAGCGAGGGAAGCCGGAAATATTCCTTTTCAGCTCGCGGCACAGACAAATGCAACAAAAACACAGAAAAAACACAAGAGTTTCCAAGTCATTTTGCACATTTCCTTGACATTTCATTTTTTTTTTATACTCGTTTTTCCGCCGTCTAGTTATTCTTTCCTTTTTTCCATCTTTTTAGTTTCAGCACTCATTTCTTGCGTATGGAACGTGTTCTATTGTCGGTATTTGTGCTCATGAGCCAGGAAGAGGAAGAGGAAGCAGCTGCACCTTATTGTCCGTCCGTCAGTTCGTCACTCCGGCATTTCCCCAATTCCCCATTCCGCCATTCACCCATTCCGGCATTCCGTCAGTTGTTCATTAGAGCGTTTCTTAATTAGCGCCTCGCTTTGTTTTCGCACACACCATTCTCCCTCTCTTTCTGATTCGCATTCTACAAGGCCCCCTCTCTTTCTAATTCCGTAGTTCCCGTCTCCCTCCCGCACTCGCAACCCCCGTTTGGCTTATTCGCATCTTAATCCGCTGGAACACCAGCGACCGTGTGGCCTAATGGATAAGGCGTCGGACTTCGGATCCGAAGATTGCAGGTTCGAGTCCTGTCACGGTCGAAAAAGAATTTTTTTCTTTTTTTGAGGCCTGCAAAATTGTATATAAATAACCTTTTGTATTTCTTTAAATTACCAAAAATATTTATAAAACTAGACATCTGTACAATCAATTTCAACCCAGTTTCTATAGAACATCCAACCAAAAATAAAGATATCCTCTAAACCTCATAGTAAAATTCTAGCTTTAATGGCCATAGAATTAATTCATCGAGCCAGCTTAGCTTAAATAATAATTATAATATGCCACATACCAAGTTTCATATCAGTGACATCATCAGTAACCTAGTTACTTCAGCATAGCCGGTTAAAAACACAGAAATTTCCTACAACACTAGTAAAATTCCAGCTTGAATTGCCATAGAATGACTTGGCCAAGCTTACTATGCTTAAAAAATAGCTTAAAGATGCCACATACCAAGTTTCATATCTATGGGACCACCAGCAACCAAGTTACTTCGGCACAGCTGGCTAGGAACACAGAAATCCACTACAATGGCGGCATTTAAAAGCAGCCCGGTGCACTTTCATTGGAGTTTCCATGCCAAGTGCCGGGCCGGGCCGGCGATCCGATCGGATCGGGCATCAATTTCGTGCTGTGCCTGACAGCGGCTGTCGCTTATAAATTGCAGAGCCCACAAAAACAGCAAGAACAACAAGGGCCATGGCCACTATGGCCACTATGGCAACAACGGCGACAAGCGCTCTGACATTTAACATCCGGTTGAAATTGTTCAACGCATTTCCGGTGCCCTCTGGTGTGCCCACAACCACCCACCACCCACCACCCACCTACCACCTACCACCTACCACCTACCCAATCGGGCCGCCCAGAAGACAGGACGTTGGGTCCTCGACCAGCAATTAAACGCTTATCGAGAAGTTGGCCAAAAAGAGGAGTCTAAGGGGGTGGAGCAGAATACTGAAAACAGAAAACAGACGACAATGAGCTGCCTTGCATATAATTGAGGTTATGGCCGACACCGGCCACCTTTGGCCTTTTTCGAACTTTTCCCGGCAGCAGCAGAAAAACAGCTCTCCGCAAAAAGTTTTCGCACAGAGCAGCATAAGTTGAAATGCGTCCACCGACTGGAAGAGAGACACCTGGGTGGCATACCACCAGTGCTTGCATATGCGGCAAATAACTGCAGACAAAAGGCGAGGAAATTAATTAGGGTCTTCTCATGACCATCCTGGGCATCCTGGGCATCCTGGGCATCCTGGCCATCCCGACCATCCCGACCATCATCACCATCATTATCGTCGCAGGCAACCTGCATCAAAACTAGCAAAACTAGCAAAACGGATGTCACCCGTAAACAAGCGGCGACACAAAGGCAACAAAACGGCCAGAAAAGGACGAAAAAGGTCCTGCGAGACAGTGAAAGGAGTCGGCAAACAAATCGAGTTGTTGGCATGGAAATTAATTGCTGCAAATTGAGTAATGATGTTGGCCGCCTTCACAAGTGCCACCAAAAAATGCCAAAGACAAGAACGGAGGACTGCAATTATCCCTAATGATTTCGGGGGCTTCAAAACTAATTTACAAGTTGATAGCAAAGTGGGAGCTTTTAAAATGAAATCAATAGAGATTTTAAAATATTTTGTATAATACATTTATTTTCTCAAATAGCTTCTGTGGGCATGGTTCGTTATCCAATCTTAATTAGTATTTAATCTAATTGGAGTTGTGAAATTAGGAATGTGAAATATTTACGATTTCATCTGAAGATATATTTTTAATTCTAAATGATTTGCAATTCGGGAAAATCGACAACTCAACACCTCTACCATCCAAGGACCGAAAATCCAGAACTATATTGGGCTTTCCCGGCACCTCAGCGCGGACATCAAAGACCGCCGAATTTCCCTGTATCATCACATTTAAATATATGTTCTTCGCTCCCCTAATCAAATCAACCTGGAGCCCCTGCGAACTTATGATTACGCATTTTCCGGCGCTGCCTGCGAATGAAATGTTTTGTCAACTCTGAACTGCCAAAACAGCGTCAAACGGAGGCGGGCAAACAGAGACAAACAAACAAGCAAACTGGCGAACAAACGAACAAATAAGCAGGCAAACAAACCAACGAACGAACGAACAAACAAACATTGACGCAATTTCTGCTGCAATATGAAAAAGTTTTCCCTGCTCCTGCCACGCTTTTCCAGGCATTTTTCCTTCCCCACTCCGACATTTTTTCTTTTCTGTCTTTTTTTTGTGCTGTTATTGCTCTGAGCTTCAGTCGACGCTGTAATTTGCATTTGTAATCAAAAAGTTGCACATAAACTTTGTTTTATGCTCATTTTCCTCGGCTAGTCACATGTGTGTGTGTGTGAGTGGAAAAGCCTCCTCCGGTTGCTAAGACATAAAAGGACACACAGCGCACAGGACGAACTCTCATCATAATTTTCCTAATTTCAAATTATTTCCATTAGTAGAGTGAAGCGAAAATAAAACTCGTAGCGAAAAAAATTAAAAGAGATGGGTCACACAAGGCAGTGACAAAGCGTTTTGGGGAAAACTGAGTGCTCTAGAACATAGCTACATCAGGGAAAATCTAAAAAAAAAAAGTATTTACAACAAAGGCTCAAGCGTTTTTAATTGCATATTTAATTCAGAGGAACTCAGTTTTAGAAAATCACTTAAACAAACGATTGTCCACGCAAATGATTATTGTTCTTTATTTTATAAAAGGGGATAAGTCTTAACTACCCAAAATGAATACAACTGATTAAAAATCGAAATACCTTTCAATCGATAAAGTGTAAAACATATTTAGAGTTCAAATAATACCCTACATATTTATTAAGACTCGTGTTGATATTTAAAAAAACACATATTTGCCAGCCCAATTAAAATTTTCTCCTGCAGTCTCCGCCGTTTGACAAACAAGCCGTCTATGGAAATACTCCATTAAATCACTCTTTCACAAACATCACACAATCTGCAGTTCTTTTTCCACCTCTTAAAACGTTCAATTAAATCCATAAGGGAAAATCACCGAAATTGAAAAGCTGAAAATTGCCATTTAATCAACTGATGCCGTTTCTGGCTCTATCGGTTGGGATGGGAGTGAAAATCAAATCAAATATTTACTTGCTGTTAAATTTATGACGAAACGCAAATCGCATAAAAAGGTTTTGTGCCCCGTCTCGCTCGCCCGGTGTGTTGCTATTTCGCTTGCACCCACTGTGTTTTGTGGTCGCATAAAAAATGCGGCAAATATTTGCGTGCAGCTGCGACCCTTCAAATCCTTCGGAAAAACGGAACGAAAAATGTCCTGAAGTGGGGAGGGAAAATCGAGGAGTCGGAAGTGGTTTTCCCGGGGGCTTTAAGCCATTTTCCAGGGCTCCTTGGTCTCGAGTAGGCCGAAAAAGCGATGCCAAAAGCCATTTAACTGCATTTATCCAGCCAGGAAGCCAGGAAGCCAGGGGCATTTGATAGATATATAGATAAAGATAAAGTCTCCTCGACTGGCTGCCCAATTTTTGCCACTCCCCGGTCAATATTTAATTTGTCAAAGTGAGATTTCACTGTCGGCAGCTTAGCAAAAAAAAGTTTCCCGAGGGCTGGGCTTTATTTCCAGTTGCAGTCGCTTGCATTTAACAATTTGTTGATAAATTAGCCGAAAGCCAAAACCCACTGACGTGGAGGAGAGTGGCTTAAAAAGTTGTTTCCCTTTGGCCCGGCTTTCCTTTACTTTCCCTTCCTTTCCATTCCATGGAAAGCCATATCCGACCTTAGCGCGTGACATTTAATTTTTCGGACACACAAACATGCTCCTCTGCCGTCCCGAGAATGAAGTTTTAATGCAGATTTATCACCCGGTCACCGAAGACAAAGGCGGATGACAAACACTTTTGGCCAAAAGCGGT